CTTTAATAATAACATAGTGGGACAAGTTCATGCAGTGTGATGACCTGTTTGTCTGCCCCATCCATGTCAGTGAGTAAGAGATCGAGGCAGTTCTCAGGGAAGCTGATGTTTAACTAAGATAAACTGTAAAAACACCTGGTGTTGCACATGTTCCTAGTCAGAAACTGAAAAGGGAAGTTCCATAACTTCCTGAATATGGATGTCATATTAAGAGACGTCTTGATGGCTTTGAGATATGATATTGCAAGAAACGCTTTGTTTTCTCTTTGGTCCTGTTAATTCTATGGATCTTATAATTATCTATGAAGCTTAAGGCCAATATTTGCACTGACGGTACACTGAAGTGACAGGCTGAGGTGTTAGGCGAGATGGGAGACCCCATACAGGTGCTTTTGTTTTCAGACCAGACCAGAAGAAAGTAGAAGAGCGTTCTTGATGTCTTCTAAGATGTCCCACATATCAAATACAAATATTTTGCTGCAGACAGTGTGGAACTCCTCACAAAGGAAAACAATGCAAACATGGGCGGATCATTCTGGTTCATGTGAGCAAAAAATCTGTTTAAAGATGAAAAATTACAAAGAAAGAAAACGTAAGTGAATAAAACAAATGTTGTAAATCTGGGCTACTAAACACCAGATCTCTGTCCTTTAAGTCCCGGGTGATAAATGATTTAATAATTGATCAAAATATTGATTTAGCTTTCCTGTCTGGAACCTGGCTGCAGCTGTCAGAATCCTCAAAGCGTGGACTACAGAGCAGCCACTCTTTAAAGACCTGCACACAGTTAAAGCTCATGGGCCTCATTCAGGGTTTCCATCACTTCACATAGTCATGGAGTTCCACTTTGTTCTGTGATGGGAACGAGACATTATCATTGAAATGTTTGCCTGAAGCAACATTATCATTGCTATGCAGACAAAACCCAGCTTTATTTATCTATAAGGCCAGAGACAAAACTTCAGAAACGCCTTAAAGACACAAAGGTTTGGATGTTCCCAAATGTTCTTCCCCTAAATCAGGTGAGTCTGATATAGGATCAGACAGCTCCAGGACTTGATACACTGAGCACTTCCCCCTCCCCTCTTTTTACTCCCCACATGTTTATAATGCCATTACATTTTTCGTCTTCTCTCTCTGTTAGTCTCTCTTTTTCTTGTCCCCTCACCCTCAGCCGCCTCACCCTGAACCTGGTTCTACTCAAGGTGTTTTCCTGTTATTATTAGTTATTCCTTCCCAGTGTCACAATGTGCTTGCTCATGGGGTCACTTGATTGTTGGGGTTTTGCTCCAGCACTGTGGGTTCTTTACCTTACAGTATAAAACTTATTGAGGCGACTGCTGTTGTGAATTGGCGCTATTAAACTAAATCTGAATTGAATTTGGCTCGCTGACAGTGGAGTAGACAATGACGATGATGTTCTCAGGAGGCTTGGGTGGAGGTTGGTATTGGTGGAGGAGATGGAACCCCTCTGGTTGACTGAGCTGTGGAGGGACAGGACAGGTTGGGCTTCAGTCAGCTGGTTAAGGACATAACTACAGATATTGAGTCAACTGTGTATATTAGTGCTGTCAAAACACTTAAGATTAAGCTGTCATCACAATTAACACGATACAAAACATTTAACGCTATTAACGCATCTGGAGTGCAGAATGACTCAAAATCCATGAAATGTTTCTGTCAGTGCAGTTTGTCCAAGTAGAGTCACCTTCGCACATGTGCAAATCAATGTAGTTGATCTGGTAGTAGTGATGGGATTTCCGGCTCTTTTTAGAGAACTGGCTCTTTCGGTTCGGCTCACTAAAAAGAGCCGGCTCTTTCGGCTCTGAACCGGCTCTTCAGGTTGTTTTGTTGCTTTAATTAATTTATTATTAACAATAATATAAAATTACGCACAAAAGGAATTACTAATGTAAAAAAAGTGGTTTTATTTATATATGATGTTTATATATAAATATATACGGTGGCCCCTACAGACAAAACACGTACAAACTCCAAAACACATTTCTAGCATGAACTGAACTTCCAAACAGAGCTACCTAGATCACTTAAATTACACAATTGAAAGCATGTGTGTATTGTTTGTGTATTTATACACAAGCACTCATATATATTCAAATAATTTAAAATATGTTCATTTACCTGTTATTACCACACACCAAATCCAGTCGTTGGTACTTGCTGGCTTGTGTAGCCACTAGGTAACAAAAGCTCAACACTGCCCCCTAGCATCCTGGAGCACTTCTGTTGTGTTTGTACGTGTTTTTAGTGTTTTGTCTCTGGGGGCCACCGTAAATATACTTTTATTTATTCACTCCACATAAAATGTAATAAATAAGTCATATAATACAAAAACCAACTATTCACATTTCAACTTTTAACTATTTAAATTTTTAGCTTTTTCCTTTTAAACAAATTTAAAGTGAAACAACACAAAACACTACAAACCACAACACAATTAAATATAAATTAAAACATGCAAACAAAAAGAAGATGCATATTCTCTGTCATATGGACCTGCATGAATAAACTTTCTGAATCCTTTATCATCCGCAACTGAAAATAGTTGTGGATGATTACTATACCATTAATGTGACGTTGTTGTCCGTGGCTCTCTCTCTCTCTCTCTCTCTCCCGCTCTGTTCCTGTGCTACTGAGTGTAACTACCGCCCCTCCCCCCTCTGCCCAGCGTAAAGCACAAGGCTCGTGTGGAGTGAAGCGGAAAAAAAGGTGAGAGAGAGAAAGAAAACCACGGCTCGTGTGGTTCACGTCAAAGAGCCGGCTCTAAGAGCCGTTTCGTTCGCGACCGACACATCACTATCTGGTAGTGACGGGCAGCTGAACCAGTCAACTCAATATGGAAGATGCTAAACACACATTGGCCCTCTCGATGGGAAATTTGGGTATTAAAAAAATAACAAGTCGACCAACATAAAGTCTCATGCACATTGTGGAAGACGCAATTTTCTTTTCACCGAAGCACTCCCAGCTTAAAATATCACAGGGACTCGAAGCATACGTTAGTCGGGGATGCTGCTAGCACTTCGGCTAACGCGTCACACAGCTTGCAACAAACCGCTCACGGAGCATCGCAAGTCGACCTCGGACATATTGACTGACGCCAAGTGGATTGCAACAAACTGCAGACGTGTTAATATCGCTGAGAACTCCTGCAGGAGATCAGTTAGGCTAACTGATGGTGAGCCCCAAGCCTAACTGATCTCCTGCAGGAGATCAGTTAGGCTTGGGGCTCACCTCTTAAGAGGTTAATATGGAATAAAAATGAATTATATTTAATTAATCCCCAGTAACCCTGTGATGAATCCTATTAAAAACTGTAATTCTTTGAGAACAAATATATATTAAAAAGTTTTTCACAGGAGAGCCTGTGCTAAAAGAAAACTATGAAGCAAACATTCTTTGTTTATTCTCCATTTATTTCATGATATTGCATAAATGTCTGTTACAAGCTTAAATATAAAGTTGAAAAAGTGTAATTACAGCCAGACTATTGATCAAGTAATTGGGATTAATAGCGATTAATTACAGAAAATTGTGAGATTTTTTTTACAGCACATATATATATGTATTAAGCAGACCTGTACACACCTGCTCAGGTAATAATCAGTGTTTGTTCATGTCATTTGTGTAATTGTGCGTGTGGGAACTCCCCTATCAGAGCTGGTTGTGCTGCTAGCATATCAGCTCACGATGAGGAAAACTGTTCATGAATAATTCAAAGGCTCAACTATCAAAAGTTACTGAAATCATTTTTATTGTTTCAGTGGGATTAAGGCCTGACATTACTCAGTAGGCAAATATTAACCCAGCATGGGACTTTCCACTTGTGCTTCATGTTTTTCTTCAGCAGCCTTTGGGGGGCATCGAGTGACAACATTCACTGGTCCCTGCTCTCATGCAGCTGTGACCTTATGAACCTTTGATAAGCTGGTGGATATTCTTTCACCTCCTCGAGCTGCTGAAGCATTAATGAGACAGGAGCGCTGTGAAGCGGCATGTTTGTTGCAGGATTTCAAATCCCCTGCACAGGTAACACTGTCCTGTGCTGCACACATGCATGTGTACATGCTATGTGTCCGTGACAGAGCGAGGTAGTGAATGAACGGTGAAAGTGAAGCCACAGACCCCAGTGAAAGATGTTTGCTCTACAGGCTGAGGCATGTCTCAGACCCTGTAAGGCTTGGCATGTACACACAGGTTAAGAAGAGCAGGAATGCAACACATGCACACAAAATCATCCCACACACCCACAGCCCTTTTTTAACCTTATCTGGAATCTGTTTATATTGCTAATGCTAATCCCACAGTACTCTCTACCATACTTTGACTTTACTGCAGGCTTATAGCAATTTTAAACACACACAGGAAAAAACGAGCGCTCAGGGAGACGCGCTGGGGCCGTGCGAGGTCAGAGAAACAGGTCACGGCAGTTTAAAGGATTTGGCAGCTCTGAGATCACAGAGGGCGTAGACAGGGTTTTAGAGGAGCATGAGATCATGAGTCCAAGTCCCTTTAACTCATAAATGCTATTAACTGCAGTAGTAAACAATCAATCCGGGGTTTTGAACTTTTGAACTCGTCTAATATTTTGGAGTTATTATTTTTTGATCGTTGTTTAAGTTTGGTGGTTTTCATTAGTCTGATTTCTCGTTTAGGTCTAAATGCGTCGATGTTTAGTCCTCGTTTGGTTTTCTGTTTGTGTTTCGTGTTTATATCCTCAGGTGTTATATCCTCACCTGTTTGCAGCTGATTCGCCTCCTGTGTATTACACGTGTCCTTTGTCACTATGTGAGAGTAATTTCTGTTTGCTCTACTCTCCACACATCATGACAACATCACAGACTTCTTTGAGCAAGAATCTCCAGTTTGTGTCAGATCCAGAGAGTCCTGAGGATCCTGTGAGCCATGAGCTGTTTAATCTGAGCCCGTGGCTCTTTAGCCTGATTCCCAGAGTCCCAGCCACCGCTGCTGGCCATCTGACAACCCTCGGCTGACGTGGGCCTCCAGCCATGCCACCCGAGCTTCTCCATTTGGGGGACCCACTGGGCCTCTGTTGCTGAAAAAGCCTGTCAACTCAAACATGCAGTGTTACCTATTGTGGTGGCATCTTGCTGAAAGTAGCTTTTAA